TGGAGTTAGGGTGTCCCTCATCATCATCATCGTAGCGGGATGTTAACTACCTCGCCTGGTGTGCAGGAGGTCGTGGGTTCTGATCCCGACCCTGACGACGCTTGCTGCTGCTGTATATTTGGAGTTAGGGTGTCTCTCATCATCATCATCGTCGTAGCGGGATGTTAACTACCTCGCCTGGTGTGCAGGCGGTCGTGGGTTCTGATCCCTACCCTGACGCCTGCCGCTGCTGCTGTGTATTTGGAGTTTAAGTGTCTCTCTGATCACCATCATCATCATCAGTGGCGGGATGTTAACTACCTCGCCTGGTGTGCAGGCGGTTGTGGGTTCTGATCCCGACCCTGACACCTGCCGCTGCTGCTGTGTATTTGGAGTTTAAGTGTCTCTCTGATCACCATCATCATCATCAGTGGCGGGATGTTAACTACCTCGCCTGGTATGCAGGCGGTCGTGGGTTCTGATCCCGACCCTGCCGCCTGACGCTGCTGCTGTGTATTTGGAGTTAAGTGTCTCTCTGATCATCATCATCAGTGGCGGGATGTTAACTACCTCGCCTGGTGTGCAGGCGGTCGTGGGTTCTGATCCCGACTCTGACGACGCCTGCTGCTGCTGCTTAGGTGTCTCTCTCTCTCTCTCTCCCCGTGGTGGCCAAGCGGATTTTTTCTCCGGGTCCTCCGGTTTTTCCCCTCCACATTTGGAATCCGCATCAAACGCTGAGAGTATTTGGCTCCTACTATGAATTCCTACACGACGCATCAGTCACTTTGTTGAGCTATCATTGGCCAGGTCGCTTCTGAAAAAGAACTACAGTCAGCTCAGTGGGGGCCTTACCCCGTAAAATAAAAACTATGTTTTTCACAGTTTATCAGCAGACTCCCATCAAACAAACAAATAAATAATCCGACGACACGTGCCTACTTCCCACAGCTGTCCATCCACAAAAACAAATACAATAATGTTTTCTTTACACATCCCGACCTTCCTTCCGAGAGTGTCCATTAATGTCAGCAGCAGCGTTGGATCAGCAAAAGCAAAACTCTGGACCGGCTTTTTCGACATTCCAGTTTTTCATCAGGAGCGTCAGGCTTGCTCGAACAAATGCTGGCGATGAAGTGCCAGATGTTTGTTTATGGGCAAGGACCCTCTCGCTCTCTGTTATACATAATACACAACACAACAATTAATGACAGACTCACGCAGACCCAGACACAAAGACCCAGAGACTCACACAGAGACCCACAGATTTATGCAGATGCCAGACTCACACAGAGACCTACAGAAAGAGACACCCACAGACTCACACAGAGACCCACATATTTATACAGACTCCCACAGAGACCCGCAGACTCACAAAGAGACCTACAGATTTATACAGACTCACACAGAGACTTGCGGACCCACAAAGAGGGCCAGCAGACCGGCACAGATATCCACAGACTCGCAGAGAGAGGCACAAAGATTCCACATTGAACCCAATGCTCGTAAACTGCTAGATATTTACAAGGCAAAGGGACCCTTTCTCCGTGAGATATCGCTCCTGGCTCAACGCAAAGAACGATGCCACGGAGAAGAAACGACGCCAGCGACGAGGCTCGGCGCTCAAACGGCGGCCGCAAATTCACCAAATGCATCTCGCGTCTCTCCCACGTCCCTCCCACGTCCATCCAACGTCCATCCAACGTCCATCCAACGTCTCTCCCACGTCTATCCCACGTCTCTCCCACGTCTCTCCCACGTCCCTCCCACGTCCATCCAACGTCCATCCAACGTCTCTCCCACGTCCCTCCCACGTCCATCCAGCGTCCATCCAGCGTCCATCCCACGTCTCTCCCACGTCTCTCCCACGTCTATCCCACGTCTCTCCCACGTCCATCCAACGTCCATCCAACGTCCATCCAACGTCTATCCAACGTCTATCCAACGTCTATCCCATATCACTTACACGTCCCTCCCACGTCCATCGAACGTCTATCTAACGTCTCTCCCACGTCTCTCCCATCACTCACGTCCATCCAACGTCTATCCCACGTCTCTCCCACGTCCCTCCCATATCACTCACACGTCTCTCCCACGTCCATCCAACGTCTATCCCACGTCTATCCTACGTCACTCCCATATCACTCGCACGTCTCTCCCACGTCTATCCCACGTCTCTCCCACGTCTCTCCCACGTCCATCCAACGTCCATCCAACGTCTATCCCACGTCTCTCCCACGTCCCTCCCATATCACTCACACGTCTCTCCCACGTCTATCCCACGTCCCTCCCACGTCTCTCCCACGTCCATCCAACGTCCATCCAACGTCTATCCCACGTCTCTCCCACATCCCTCCCATATCACTCCAACGTCTATCCCACGTCTATCCCACGTCTCTCCCACGTCTCTCCCACGTCTATCCCACGTCCCTCCCACGTCTCTCCCACGTCTCTCCCACGTCTCTCCCACGTCCATCCAACGTCCATCCAATGTCTATCCCACGTCTCTCCCACATCCCTCCCATATCACTCCAACGTCTATCCCACGTCTCTCCCACGTCTATCCCACGTCCCTCCCACGTCTCTCCCACGTCTCTCCCACGTCCATCCAACGTCCATCCAATGTCTATCCCACGTCTCTCCCACATCCCTCCCATATCACTCCAACGTCTATCCCACGTCTCTCCCACGTCTATCCCACGTCCCTCCCACGTCTCTCCCACGTCTCTCCCACGTCTCTCCCACGTCCATCCAACGTCCATCCAATGTCTATCCCACGTCTCTCCCACATCCCTCCCATATCACTCCAACGTCTATCCCACGTCTCTCCCACGTCTCTCCCACGTCTATCCCACGTCTCTCCCAGCCACCCCCCCTCCACCCCCACGGAAAAACCCATGCATAAAGGGACGTGGCGGCGAAATGACAGGAGCAGCCGTGCAGTGACGCAGTCGGCGTCACGAATCCAACCTCTAAATCGCCCCGGGGACAAAGCGCCGGGAAATCTTTTTTTTGGGACTGAGAATTTCCCGTAAAAAAAATTGGTTTTAAAATAAATCAACAGGAGTGGCAGCAGCAGGAGTAGCAGCAGCAGCAACTACGACCTCAGCAGCAGCAGCAACTACGACACCAGCAGCAGGAGCAGCAGCAGGAACTACAACACCAGCAGCAGCAGCTACAACACCAGCAGCAGGAGCAACAACAACACCAGCAGCAGCAGCAACTACGACACGAACAGCAGGAGCAGCAACTACAACACCAGCAGCCACAAATATAACACCAGCAGCAGTAGCAACTACAACACCAGCAGCAGCAGCAGCAACTACAACACCAGCAGCAGTAGTAACTACAACACCAGCAGCAGCAGCAACTACAACACCAGCAGCAGCAGCAACTACAACACCAGCAGCAGTAGCAACTACAACACCAGCAGCAGCAGCAACTACAACACCAGCAGCAACTACAACACCAGCAGCAGTAGCAACTACAACACGAGCAGCAGCAGGAACTACAACACCAGCAGCAACTACAACACCAGCAGCAGCAGCAACTACAACACCAGCTGCAACTACAATACCAGCAGCAGCAGCAACTACAACACGAGCAGCAGCAGCAGGAGCAGCAGCAACTATAACACGAGCAGCAGTAGCAGCTACAACAACAGCAGCAGCAACTAGAAGAACAGCAGCAGCAACTACAACACGAGCAGCAGCAGCAACACCACCAGCAGCAGCAACTATAACAACAGCAGCAACTACAACACGAGCAGCAGCAACTACAACACCAGCAGCAGCAGCAGGAACTACAACACCAGCAGCAACTACAACACCAGCAGCAACTACAACACAAGCAGCAGCAGGAGCAGCAGCAACTACAACAACAGCAGCAACTACAACAACACGAGCAGCAGCAGGAACTACAACACGAGCAGCAGCAACTACAACACGAGCAGCAACTACAACAACACGAGCAGCAGGAGCAGCAGCTACAACACCAGCAGCAGCAGCAACTACAACACGAGCAGCAGCAGCAGAAGCAGGAGCAACTACAACACCAGCAGCAGTAGCAACTACAACACCAGCAGCAGCAGCAACTACAACACGAGCAGCAGCAGCAGCAGCAGCAGGAGCAGCAGCAACTATAACAACAGCAGCAGCAACTACAACAACACGAGCAGCAGCAGCAACTACAACACCAGCAGCAACTACAACACCAGCAGCAGGAGCAGCAACTATGACACGAGCAGCAGCTAAGACACTGGCAACAGCAGCAGCAGCAACTACAACACGAGCAGCAGCAGCAGCAACTACAACAACACGAGCAGCAGGAGCAGCAACTACAACACCAGCAGCAGGAGCAGCAACTACAACACCAGCAGCAGTAGCAACTACAACACCAGCAGCAGTAGCAACTACAACACCAGCAGCAGCAGCAACTACAACACCAGCAGCAGTAGCAACTACAACACCAGCAGCAGCAGCAACTACAACACCAGCAGCAGCAGCAACTACAACACCAGCAGCAGTAGCAACTACAACACCAGCAGCAGCAGCAACTACAACACGAGCAGCAGCAGGAACTACAACACCAGCTGCAACTACAATACCAGCAGCAGCAGCAACTACAACACGAGCAGCAACTACAACACCAGCAGCAGTAGCAACTACAACACCAGCAGCAACTACAACACCAGCAGCAGTAGCAACTACAACACCAGCAGCAGCAGCAACTACAACACCAGCAGCAGCAGCAACTACAACACCAGCAGCAGCAGCAACTACAACACCAGCAGCAGCAGCAACTACAACACCAGCAGCAGTAGCAACTACAACACCAGCAGCAGCAGCAACTACAACACCAGCAGCAGTAGCAACTACAACACCAGCAGCAGCAGCAACTACAACACGAGCAGCAGCAACTACAACACGAGCAGCAGCAACAACACGAGCAGCAACTACAACAGCAGCAGCAACTACACCAGCAGCAGCAGCGGCGGCGGCGGCTCCGTGGTTATTTTGCCAAACCTGCGATCTAGACGATCGACGTGCCCGCCGGGGTTCACAGTGGCCGGAGGAGGCCCGATGTAAAAGGACAAAAGGTTTGACGGCTGGCGATGCCGCCGCCGCCGCCGCCGCCGTGGGACAGCACGGCACGGGATTTGCTTACGCGGCGATGAGAGGACGGGAGGTGAATTTTGATGTGACCGGGCGTCCGTCTCTTCCCCGCCTCCTCTCTCTCTCTCTCGCCCGCCCTCCGTCTGTGGCGCTCTCACCCTAAGCCAAAACACTCGCACCACCTACCCGGACACCTCGGGGCAAGCCACCGAACGCGTCGGTTAGTCAGTCACAGTGGGCAAAGCCACCTAGCCAGCCACCCTCCCCCCGCCCCGCTCAGGCCAGGCGGGTCAACTCGACAGCCAGCGAATTATTTAATCGGCCACGCAACTGCCCAGCCAACCTGCCACCAAAGCAGGCACCCGGCTACTCTCGTAACCCGGTCACCCACGCGACCACCGTGAGGCGGCTACGCAGTGAGCCACCCGGCACACTCGCTCGGCCATCGAGCCAGTGACCCAGCTACTCAGTAAGTCACACAATTACCGAGTCATAACACCCTCCCAGCCAACCAGATGACCGACCAGCCACCGACTCGCATATATACCGAGACACCCAGCCATTCATGCAGTCGGCCACTCGGCCACGCAGCCTGTCAGGCAACCAACTACTCAGCCATTCAGTCACCCAGCCTGTCAGTCACTCAGCTACTCAGTCATCCAGTCACCGAGCTACTCAGCCATTCAGTCACCCAGCCTGCCAGTCACCCAGCTACTCAGCCATTCAGTCACCCAGCCTGCCAGTCACCCAGCTACTCAGCCATTCAGTCACCCAGCCTGCCAGTCACCCAGCCTGTAAATCACTCAGCTACTCAGTCATCCAGTCACCGAGCTACTCAGCCATCCAGTCACCCAGCCTATCAGTCACCCAGCCTGTCAGTCACCCAGCTACTCAGCCATCCAGTCACCCAGCCTGCCAGTCACTCAGCTACTCAGCCATTCAGTCACCTAGCTACTCAGCCATCCAGTCACCAGGCTACTCAGCCATTCAGTCACCCAGCCTGCCAGTCACCCAGCTACTCAGCCATTCAGTCACCCAGCCTGCCAGTCACCCAGCCTGTAAATCACTCAGCTACTCAGTCATCCAGTCACCGAGCTACTCAGCCATCCAGTCACCCAGCCTATCAGTCACCCAGCTACTCAGTCATTCAGTCACCCAGCTACTCAGCCATTCAGTCACCCAGCCTGCCAGTCACTCAGCTACTCAACCATTCAGTCACCCAGCCTGTGAGTCACCCAGCTACTCAGCCATTCAGTCACCCAGCCTGTCAGTCACTCAGCTACTCAGCCATTCAGTCACTCAGCTATTCAGCCATCCAGTCACCCAGCTACTCAGCCATTCAGTCACCCAGCTACTCGGCCATCCAGTCACCCAGCCTGCCAGTCACTCAGCTACTCAGCCATTCAGTCACCTAGCTACTCGGCCATCCAGTCACCCAGCTACTCAGCCATTCAGTCACCCAGCTACTCAGCCATCCAGTCACCCAGCATCTCAGTCACCCAGCTACTCAGCCATTCAGGCACGCAGCCTACCAGTCACTCAGCTACTCAGCAATCCAGTCACCCAGCCTGTCAGTCACCCAGCTACTCAGTCACCCAGCTACTCAGCCATTCAGTCACCCAGCCTGTCAGTCACCCAGCCACTCAGCCATTCAGTCACCCAGCCTGTCAGTCACTCAGCTACTCAGCATCCAGTCACCCAGCCTGTCAGTCACCCAGCTACTCAGCCATTCAGTCACCCAGCCTGCCAGTCACCCAGCTACTCAGCCATTCAGTCACCCAGCCTGTCAGTCACTCAGCTACTCAGCATCCAGTCACCCAGCCTGTCAGTCACCCAGCTACTCAGCCATTCAGTCACCCAGCCTGCCAGTCACCCAGCTACTCAGCCATTCAGTCACTCAGCCTGTCAGTCACCCAACTACTCAGCCATTCAGTCACCCAGCCTGTCAGTCACCCAGCCACTCAGCCATTCAGTCACCCAGCCTGTCAGTCACTCAGCTACTCAGCCATTCAGTCACCCAGCCTGTCAGTCACCCAGCTGCTCAGCCATTCAGTCACTCAGCCTGCCAGTCACCCAGCTGCTCAGTCATTCAGTCACCCAGCTACTCAGCCATTCAGTCACCCAGCCTGTCAGTCACCCAGCCACTCAGCCATTCAGTCACCCAGCCTGCCAGTCACCCAGCTGCTCAGTCATTCAGTCACCCAGCTACTCAGCCATTCAGTCACCCAGCCTGTCAGTCACTCAGCTACTCAGCCATTCAGTCACCCAGCCTATCAGTCACCCAGCTACTCAGCCATTTAGTCACCCAGCCTGTCAGTCACCCAGCTACTCAGCCATTCAGTCACCCAGCCTGTCAGTCACTCAGCTACTCAGCCATTCAGTCACCCAGCCTGTCAGTCACTCAGCTACTCAGCCATTCAGTCACCCAGCCTGCCAGTCACCCAGCTGCTCAGTGATTCAGTCACCCAGCTACTCAGCCATTCAGTCACCCAGCCTGCCAGTCACCCAGCTGCTCAGTGATTCAGTCACCCAGCTACTCAGCCATTCAGTCACCCAGCCTGCCAGTCACCCAGATACTCAGCCATTCAGTCACCCAGCCTGCCAGTCACCCAGCTGCTCAGTCATTCAGGCAGGCAGCCACTTGGCCACCCAGCATTCCAGTCACCCAGCCATTTCAACAGCCAGCCAAATAGCCACCGACCCCAGCAGCCAGCTATACTATCAGCCGCTTGGCCACCCACAGGCACCCACCACCTACCTCCAGGCCCCCCAGACAAAAGGCTCTGGATTCTCCCTGTAGCCATTGATTATTCATGAGAGGGAAGAGAGAGAGGGAAGAGGGGAGAGAGGGATGGAGAGAGAGGGGAGAGGGAGGGAGAATGGAGACGTGAATGGAGTGAATGAGAGAGCAGCAGCAGCAGCATTGCGGGCGGTGATCACGGTAACCACGCACCTCATGCCACTCTACTGCTGGATGAGGGCCTCCCCGTACTGAGCGGGTTGTGGAGGGGGCGGTGGGGGGGGTTATTTGACCATACTTCACCACGCTGGTCAGTTACCACGGAGGGGGGAGATTTGGTGGAGGTGGGTGGTGATGGTGTCGGGGGGTGGTAGTGGGAGGTGGATGGTGGAGTGAGGAGTGCAAGCAAAGCACAGATTGCAAAACTACCTCGGAGGGAGGACAATCTCCCCCTTCCTCCCTCAGTGTGAAGCCAGGAAAGGTCGTGCCAGGGCTTAGTAAACATCCCATCCCCTTCCTTGTCAGGCTTTGTGGAGTCCCCAATGCGGTTTCAGGCCAGGTGGTAGAGGAGGGGACTGTGCCCTGCACAGACGCCATATTCTCCGGCCATCTGCCACAGCAGAGGTGTAGGGAATGCCAACGGGACCTTACCTCCATAATACAGGTTTTTTTTTGCTGGGTCAGTTCGCGTGAATGTATAAATGTTGCGTCGTTAAACCCGCCACCACCCGACACGGCCAATTAGTAAGGGTTGTCACACGTAAACAGAACGTGCCAATTCTGTTTACGTGACAGCCCTTACTAATTGGCTGTGCCAATCCCTTACCTACCTACCCTACACCTCTGCTTCACTAGCCATGGTCACGGCCGATGATGCCACATGAGTAAGGCCAGGGCTCTCTGAGTAAAATCTTCGTGCTTTCCGGGTCCCCGACTCGTAGCTGTCAGCCCGTAGGGTTCGCGCCGTGTTCTTGAACAGGCAAACTGAGTTGTCAGGTTCCATGCGGCATTTCAATAGCGGGCAACAACCAACATATTGTGTCTATCTGTTTGTGTTTATCCCTTGTGATGGGACTTTGTAGGAAGAACGTTGAGATTTATAAGGTCTGAATTGGTGTGTAATAAGGTAGGGCACTGCTATCTCCCTGCTCACAACCAGAGGAGACCCTTTATGATGATGATGGTGGTGGTGGTGAGCACGCCTGGATTATTGGAGTCAGAGCCATTCCACGTTCACTTTGAGGTCCGCCAGGGATGTCCCTCTGGTCCCCTACACTACAATGACCACATCCTAACCAAGCCCACTGTGACACCATATCGATATCAATATTGGTTGTCTATTATCACCAACATCACCACCAACACGACCATCACCACCGCCACCATAATCACCACAACCATCATCACCACCACCACCATCACCTCTACCACCATCACCAATAACACTACCACCACCATCACCAAAACCACCATCATCTATACCACCATCAACCACCACAACCACCATCACACGACCGCCACCACAATCACCAGTCAAACCCTCACTACCACCACCACCAACAACAACACTACCACCATCACCAACAACACTACCACCATCACCTCTACCACCATGACACTACCGTCACCACAATCACCAGCCTAACCCTCACGACCACCACCAACACTACCATCCTCACCTCTACCACCATCACACTACCGCCACCACCATCACCAGCCTAACCCTCACGACCACCAACAACACTACCACCACCACCAACAACACTACCATCCTCACCTCTACCACCATAACACTACCGCCACCACCATCACCAGCCTAACCCTCACGACCATCACCAACAATACTACCACCATCAACCACCACAACCACCATCACAATACCGTCACCACAATCACCAGTCAAACCCTCACTACCACCACCAACAACACTACCACCATCACCAACAACACTACCATCATCACCTCTACCACTATCACACTACCGCCACCACAATCACCAGTCAAACCCTCACTACCACCACCACTACCACCATCACCAACAACACTACCACCACCACCACCATCACACTACCGCCACCACCATCATCACCTCTACCACCACCACCACCAAAAACAAACTCAGAGCCTGGAGCCCCAACGAAGACCCCAGCAGCAGTATCACGCACTCCACGTTACTATGACGAGCACTAATAGATGCGGCTTGCTCATGCGTTGGTAGCGAGTGCGCTAAAGCAACTGTCAACAACAGCAGTATCACGCACTCCACGTTACTATGACGAGCACTAATAGATGCGGCTTGCTCATGCGTTGGTAGCGAGTGCACGAAGACCCCAGTAGCATTATCACGCACTCCACGTTACTATGACGAGCACTAATAGATGCGGCTTGCTCATGTGTTGGTAGCGAGTGCGCTAAAGCTAATGTCAACAACAACCGCAGCAGTATCACGCACTCCACGTTACTATGACGAGCACTGGTAGATGCGGCTTGCTCATGCGTTGGTAGCGAGTGCACGAAGACCCCGGCAGCAGTATCACGCACTCCACGTTACTATGACGAGCACTGGTAGATGCGGCTTGCTCATGCGTTGGTAGCGAGTGCGTTAAAGCTAATGTCAACATCACCAGCGACCTAAGTTCGAATCCCCCTCACGGCCAACCAACAACAACCACTACCAACAACCACAACCACTACCAACAACAACCAACAACCACAACCACTACCAACCACAACCACTACCAACAACAACCACTACCAAGTGACGATTCACCTCAGCCGGTCGCGCGGCTCTCTCCCCCTTAGGTCGACTCGGCCTCAAACGAGTGGCCCTGCTGAGGCGGTGCGGCGTTCAAACATCGCCACAGGGGAGAGACAAAGGCGGCCGGGCGAGCTGGTGGTCACCCCACACCCCACACAGCGGCGGCGGCGGCAGCCCTCACAGGCAGCGCCGCTGTCGTTCGCTACAGGCGGCATCACTCGCCCCGAACACGCTGTTGTTACAGGCTACACGGGGTGCTGGCCATCTGTGTCCCGTTCGCCTTGAAACGAACAATTGACGGACGACGTTTCGGTGCAACGGCCCTTGTTGAGGAGCGCTAAAGTCGCCTCACCTGCGCGGCGGCGGCGGCGGCGAAACGGCGTCGTCTGAGGCGAAGTTGGACATGGGAAAGGAGGGGGCAAGGGGGAAAACACTCCTCGTGGTGAACGATAAGCGAAGCTATTGTTACTAAAGAACTAAATTAGCATTTAAAAAAAAAATTATAACGAACCACGATTTGAGAGGAGAGATAGCGGGGCAGAGTGCGCGCGCGCGCGCCAAAAAAAAACCCCGACGCGGCGAGACTGTCGCGCGGGACTGCCTCAAAAACCACGCCCCCTTTGAACAGACCACGCCCCTCAAAAGCACGCCCACTCATCCTCAACCCCCCACAAACCACGCCCCCGCACCCAAACCACGCCCCCAGCCTCAAACCCACTCCCAATCAAAACCACGATCCCCGACCCTCAAACCCACCCCAAACACGCCCCCATCCTCAAACCCACCCCCCCTATCAAAACCAAACCCCCCCACCAAACCACGCCCTCACCCTCAAACACACCCTCCCTCGTAACCACGCCTCTTCTCTCGACCGGCCACGCCCATGTCCCGCTAAAACCACGCCAGCGCTCGCACGTAAACCACGCCCCCCCCTGTGTTGTGGCTCCTCCCCCTCGACCCCCTCCAGAATCTTGAGACTCACAATCTGCAGTATCCATCATAGAGTTGTTTTTGGGTTTGATCGCGTAAATATATAAATGTTGTGTTGTTAAACCCGCCACCACCCGACACAGCCAACTAGTAAGGGTTGTCACGTAAACAGAACGTGCCAATTCGTCAACAGTACAGCACTCGTGTATAGTGTAGTGTATAGTGTAGCATACTAGTACAGCACTAGTGTATAGTGTAGTGTATGGTGTAGTGTATAGTGTAGTGTATAGTATAGTATACTAGTAAAGCACTAGTGTATAGTGTAGTGTGTAGTGTAGTGTATAGTGTAGTATACTAGTACAGCACTAGTGTATAGTGTAGTGTATAGTGTAGTGTATAGTATAGTATACTGGTACAGCACAAAGGTATAGTGTAGTGTATAGTGTAGTGTATAGTGTAGTATACTAGTACAGCACTAGTGTATAGTGTAGTGTAGAGTGTAGTATACTAGTACAGTACTAGTGCATAGTGTAGTGTATGGTGTAGTGTATAGTGTAGTATACTTGTACAGCACTAGTCTATAGTGTAGTATACTAGTATAGTGTAGTGTATAGTGGAGTGTACTAGTACAGTACTAGTGTATAGTGTAGTGTATAGTGTAGTATACTAATACAGTACTAGTGTATAGTGTAGTGTATGGTGTAGTGTATAGTGTAGTGTATAGTGTGGTATACTAGTACAGCACTAGTGTATAGTGTAGTGTATAGTGTAGTATACTAGTACAGCACTAGTGTATAGTGTAGTGTATAGTGTAGTGTACAGTGTAGTATACTAGCACTAGTGTTTAGTGTAGTGTATAGTGTACTAGTACAGCACTAGTGTATAGTGTAGTGTATAGTGTAGTGTATAGTGTAGTGTATAGTGTAGTATACTAGTACAGCACTAGTATATAGTGTAGTGTATAGTGTAGTGTATAGTGTAGTATACTAGTACAGCACTAGGGTATAGTGTAGTGTATAGTGTAGTGTATAGTGTAGTATACTAGTACTGCACTAGTGTATAGTGTAGTGTAGAGTGTAGTATACTAGTACAGTACTAGTGCATAGTGTAGTGTATGGTGTAGTGTATAGTGTAGTATACTTGTACAGCACTAGTCTATAGTGTAGTATACTGGTATAGTGTAGTGTATAGTGGAGTGTACTAGTACAGTACTAGTGTATAGTGTAGTGTATAGTGTAGTATACTAATACAGTACTAGTGTATAGTGTAGTGTATGGTGTAGTGTATAGTGTAGTGTATAGTGTAGTATACTAGTACAGCACTAGTGTATAGTGTAGTGTATAGTGTAGTATACTAGTACAGCACTAGTGTATAGTGTAGTATACTAGTACAGTACTAGTGTATAGTGTAGTGTATGGTGTAGTGTGTAGTGTAGTGTATAGTGTAGTGTATAGTGTAGTATACTAGTACAGCACACCAGTTGTGTTGGAGAGCCAAGCCACAACATTTTCTATCTTGAGTACGACGTTTCGCCAGTAATGTAGTGTAGTGTACAGCCACATTTGTGTAGAAGTCAACCTGTTTCGTTCCTTGTAGAGAGAGAGAGGCGTGTGTTAGATCGCCTAAACACCTACATTGTGGAGAATGTTGCATTTAGAGTGCAGCAGCAGGAGGAATCCGATAAGCTATGAAGCTCTTTGTTCGCAGCTGTCTAGTAGGAGGGGTGGCACGTGGTAAGAACTTTAGAACTACAACACACACACACATACTCTGTAGTGCGTATTTAATGTGGCGCTGCACTCTGATGGTGTAGGTGGAAAACATTTATTACAAAGTCTATTTAATTAGGTAGAACGTGTTGCCTATAGTTATTTATAAAGTTGCGCATTTTGACGTGACGTCACATTTCTCACCCCCCTCTCTCATATTCTTGGTTCTTTCGGTAAAGTCACCACGTAGAAGGGAAACAATAAAATAATTTAAAAAAAAATCTAAAACAATAAAATTCTCACGACGTTTCGACTGCAACACAAGAAGCAATCATCACACCTGGTGACACAAGCAATCATCACACCTGCTGATGATTGCTTGTGTTGCAGTCGAAACGTCGTGAGAATTTTATTGTTTTATATATTTTTTTATTATTTTATTGTTTCCCTTCTACGTGGTGGTGACTTTACCGAAAGAACCAATAATATAAATCCCTGCAGTCACGAAAGCTTCAAATAAATAAAAATCCCACACCCCCCTCCCTCCCCTCTCTCGTCACACATCGTCACAAATGTCTCACCCCCCCCACCCCATAGGTGCGTGACGTCATTTATGGCGGCCCCTTTAGCGAGTTTAATGTGTTCATTTCAGGGGCGGCACGGTGGCTAGGAGGTTCTGAGGGTTCAATGCCGACCCTGACGACGCCTGCTGCTGCTGCTGCTCCTCGTTTCTCGGTGTCGCTCTCCTCGTGGTCACACAATCCTAGATTTGAAGCTTTCGTGACTGCAAGGATCCACACTCTTTGGTTCTATTCGGTAAAGTCGCCACGTAGTAGGTAAAAAAAAATTAAAACGACAAAAATCACGACGTTTCGGCCACAACACAAGCGGCCTTCATCGGGTGAAGGGACCGTACCGTCCAGCGGACAGCGTTGGAGTGAAGCGCTGTCCGCTGGACGGTACGGTCCCTTCACCTGATGAAGGCCGCTTGTGTTGTGGCCGAAACGTCGTGATTTTTGTTTTAATTTTTTTTTACCTACGTGGTGACTTTACCGAATAGAACCAAAGAGTCGTTGTCACACACTCACTCCGAAGGGTGACGTCGTTTTAATAACGAAAGGGTGACGTCGTTTTAATAACGAAGGGTGACGTCATAGCTTCACACTTCGGGTGACGTCACACATCTTCAACCGTCGGGTGACATCGATTAATTAAACCGCGAGTGACGTCTCACAACTTCAAACCGCGGGTGACGTCATAGCTTCACACTACGGGTGACGTCTCACAACTTCAACCGACGGTGACATCGAATATGTAAACCGCGAGTGACGTCTCACAACTTCAAACCGCGGGTGACGTCGCTCTTTCAAACTACGGGTGACGTCACACCCTCAAACCGCGTTTGACGTCGCTCCTTCAAACTACGGGTGACGTCACAACTTCAAACCGGGAGTGATGTCGCGCCTTCAAACTACGAGTGACGTCATAACTTCAAACAGCGTTTGACGTCGCTCCTTCAAACTACGGGTGACGTCACAACCTCAAACCGCGTTTGACGACGTCGCATATTTAAGCCGACGTGTCACACGTTCAAATTACCTGACGACGTGTCACACCTTCAAACACGCGAGGCTGACGTCATTGCGATAGTTTTGAAGAAACTGACGTCACCCCTTGCCGTCGGTGACGCGGTCGACGACGTTGGAGGATCCATGGCGGGCGCTGTGCAGGCGCCGTGGTGGAGCTCGTGGGAGGCGGCGCTGCTGCCGCCTCCTCCCGCCGCCGCCGCGGTCACTCCGCTGGGGCTCCTCGTGGCGCTGCTCGTCCTCGTCCTCACCCTGGGTCAGGAGAGACACACACACACCACCACCACCCTGCCACGGGCTGTCCACCACCACCACCCGTGACGAACCCCACGCGGCGATTGGGATGGCGGTGGACGTGGCCATTGAGGGCCTCCTGTTGGTGGTGGTGGTGGCTGTGCTGTTGTTGTTGTGTACAGGGGGTTGTTGTGTACAGGGGGTTGTTGTGTACAGGGGTGTTGTTGTTGTGTACAGGAGTGTTGTTGTGTACAGGGGGTTGTTGTGTACAGGAGTGTTGTTGTGTACAGGAGTGTTTATGTTGTGTACAGGGGTGTTGTTGTGTACAGAAGTGTTGTTGTGTACAGGATTGTTGTTGTTGTGTACAGGAGTGTTTATGTTGTTGTGTACAGGTGTGTTGTGTTTATGTTGTTGTGTACAGGGGGTTGTTGTTGTGTACAGGAGTGTTTATGTTGTTGTGTACAGGAGTGTTTATGTTGTTATGTACAGGTGTGTTGTTGTTGTGTACAGGAGTGTTGTTGTGTACAGGAGTGTTGTTGTGTACAGGAGTGTTGTTGTGTACAGGAGTGTTGTTGTGTACAGGAGTGTTGTTGTGTACAGAAGTGTTGTTGTTGTGTACAGGGGGTTGTGTTGTTGTGTACAGAAGTGTTGTTGTTGTTGTTGTGTACAGGAGTGTTTATGTTGTTGTGTACAGGTGTGTTGTTGTTGTTGTTGTGTACAGGAGTGTTTATGTTGTTGTGTACAGGTGTGTTGTTGTTGTTGTTGTTGTGTACAGGAGTGTTTATGTTGTTGTGTACAGGAGTGTTTATGTTGTTATGTACAGGAGTGTTGTTGTGTACAGGGGGTTGTGTTGTTGTGTACAGAAGTGTTGTTGTGTACAAAAGTGTAGTTGTTGTGTACAGGGGGTTGTGTTGTTGTATACAGAAGTGTTGTGTACAGAAGTATTGTTGTTGTGTACAGGGGGTTGTGTTGTTGTGTACAGGAATGTTGTTGTGTACAGGAGTGTTTATGTTGTGTACAGGAGTGTTTATGTTGTTGTGTACAGGAGTAATTATGTTGTTGTGTACAGGAGTGTTGATGTTGTGTACAGGAGTGTTGATGTTGTGTACAGGAGTGTTTATGTTGTTGTGTACAGGAGTGTTTATGTTGTTGTGTACAGGTGTGTTGTTGTGTACAGGTGTGTTGTTGTGTACAGGAGTGTTTGTGTTGTGTACAGGAGTGTTTGTGTTGTGTACAGGAGTGTTTGTGTTGTGTACAGGAGTGTTTGTGTTGTGTACAGGAGTGTTTATGTTGTTGTGTACAGGAGTGTTTATGTTGTTGTTGTGTACAGGAGTGTTTATGTTGTTGTTGTGTACAGGAGTGTTTATGCTGTTGTTGTGTACAGGAGTGTTTATGTTGTTGTGTACATGAGTGTTTATGTTGTGTACAGGTGTGTTGTGTTTATGTTGTTGTTGTGTACATGTGTGTTGTGTTTATGTTGTTGTGTACAGGAGTGTTTATGTTGTTGTGTACAGAAGTGTTTATGTTGTTGTGTACAGGAGTGTTTATGTTGTTGTGTACAGGAGTGTTTATGTTGTTGTGTACAGGAGTGTTTATGCTGTTGTTGTGTACATGAGTGTTTATGTTGTTGTGTACATGAGTGTTTATGTTGTGTACAGGTGTGTTGTGTTTATGTTGTTGTTGTGTACATGTGTGTTGTGTTTATGTTGTTGTTGTGTACATGTGTGTTGTGTTTATGTTGTTGTTGTGTACATGTGTGTTGTGTTTATGTTGTTGTGTACATGAGTGTTGTGTTTATGTTGTTGTGTACAGAAGTGTTGTTTTTTACAGGAGTGTTGTTGTGTACAGGAGTGTTTATGTTGTTGTTGTTGTGTACAGGAGTGTTTATGTTGTGTACAGGAGTGTTTATGTTGTGTACAGGTGTGTTGTGTACAGGAGTGTTTATGTTGTTGTTGTGTACAGGAGTGTTTATGTTGTTGTGTACATGAGTGTTTATGTTGTGTACAGGTGTGTTGTGTTTATGTTGTTGTTGTGTACATGTGTGTTGTGTTTATGTTGTTGTGTACATGAGTGTTTATGTTGTTGTGTACAGGTGTGTTGTGTTTATGTTGTTGTGTACAGAAGTGTTGTTTTTTACAGGAGTGTTGTTGTGTACAGGAGTGTTTATGTTGTTGTTGTTGTGTACAGGAGTGTTTATGTTGTGTACAGGAGTGTTTATGTTGTGTACAGGTGTGTTGTGTACAGGAGTGTTTATGTTGTGTACAGGTGTTGTTGTGTACAGGAGTATTTATGTTGTTGTGTACAGGAGTATTTATGCTGTTGTTGTGTACAGGAGTGTTTATGTTGTTGTGTACATGAGTGTTTATGTTGTGTACAGGAGTGTTTGTGTTGTTGTGTACAGGAGTGTTTATGCTGTTGTGTACAGGAGTGTTTATGTTGTGTACAGGAGTGTTTATGTTGTGTACAGGAGTGTGTATGTTGTTGTTGTGTACAGGAGTGTTTATGTTGTGTACAGGAGTGTTTATGTTGTTGTGTACAGGTGTGTTGTTGTGTACAGGTGTGTGTATGTTGTTGTGTACATGTGTGTTTATGTTGTTGTTGTGTACAGGAGTGTTTATGTTGTTGTTGTGTACAGGAGTGTTTATGTTGTTGTTGTGTGCAGGAGTGTTTATGTTGTTGTTGTGTGCAGGAGTGTTTATGGTGTTGTGTGCAGGAGTGTTTGTTGTTGTGTACAGGAGTGTTTGTTGTTGTGTACAGGAGTGTTTGTTGTTGTGTACAGGAGTGTTTGTTGTTGTGTACAGGAGTGTTTGTTGTTGTGTACAGGATTGTTTATGTTGTTGTGTACATGTGTGTTTGTTGTTGTTGTGTACAGGAGTGTGTGTTGTTGTGTACAGGATTGTTTATGTTGTGTGCAGGAGTGTTTATGTTGTGTACAGGATTGTTTATGTTGTTGTGTACAGGAGTGTTTGTTGTTGTGTACAGGAGTTTATGTTGTTGTGTACAGGAGTGTTTATGTTGTTGTGTACAGGTGTGTTTATGTTGTTGTGTAAAGGAGTGTTTATGTTGTTGTGTACAGGTGTGTTTGTTGTTGTTGTGTACAGGAGTGTTTATGTTGTTGTGTACATGTGTGTTTATGTTGTTGTTGTGTACAGGAGTGTTTATGTTGTGTACATGTGTGTTTATGTTGTTGTGTACAGGAGTGTTGTTGTGTACATGTGTGTTTATGTTGTTGTGTACAGGAGTGTTGTTGTGTACATGAGTGTTTATGTTGTTGTGTACAAGAGTGTTGTTGTTGTGTACATGAGTGTTTATGTTGTTGTGTACAGGAGTGTTTATGTTGTTGTTGTGTGCAGGATTGTTGTTGTTGTGTACAGGAGTGTTTATGTTGTTGTTGTGTACAGGAGTGTTTATGTTGTTGTTGTGTACAGGAGTGTTTATGTTGTTGTGTACAGGAGTGTTTATGTTGTGTAAAGGATTGTTTATGTTGTTGTGTACAGGATTGTTTATGTTGTTGTGTACATGTGTGTTTATGTTGTTGTTGTGTACAGGAGTGTTTGTTGTTGTGTACAGGAGTGTTTATGTTGTTGTGTACAGGAGTGTTTATGCTGTTGTGTACATGAGTGTTTATGTTGTTGTGTACAGGAGTGTTGTGTACAGGAGTGTTTATGTTGTTGTGTACATGTGTGTTTATGTAGTTGTTGTGTACAGGAGTGTTTGTTGTTGTGTACAGGAGTGTTTGTTGTTGTGTACAGGAGTTTATGTTGTGTACAGGAGTGTTTATGTTGTTGTGTACATGTGTGTTTGTTGTTGTTGTGTACAGGAGTGTTTATGTTGTTGTTGTGTACAGGAGTGTTTATGTTGTTGTTGTGTACAGGAGTGTTTATGTTGTTGTTGTGTACAGGAGTGTTTATGTTGTTGTTGTGTACAGGAGTGTTTATGTTGTTGTTGTGTACAGGAGTGTTTATGTTGTTGTTGTGTACAGGAGTGTTTATGTTGTTGTTGTTGTGTACAGTAGTGTTTATGTTGTTGTGTACAGGAGTGTTTATGTTGTTGTGTACAGGAGTGTTTATGTTGTTGTGTACAGGAGTGTTTATGTTGTTGTTGTGTACAGGATTGTTTATGTTGTTGTTGTGTACAGGAGTGTTTATGTTGTTGTGTACAGGATTGTTTATGTTGTTGTGTACAGGATTGTTTATGTTGTTGTGTACAGGAGCGTTGTTGTGTACAGGAGTTTATGTTGTTGTGTACATGAGTGTTTATGTTGTTGTGTACATGATTGTTTATGTAGTTGTGTACAGGAGCGTTGTTGTGTACAGGAGTTTATGTTGTTGTGTACAGGAGTGTTTATGTTGTTGTTGTGTACAGGAGTGTTTATGTTGTTGTTGTGTACAGTAGTGTTTATGTTGTTGTTGTGTACAGGAGTGTTTATGTTGTTGTTGTGTACAGGAGTGTTTATGTTGTTGTTGTGTACAGGAGTGTTTATGTTGTTGTTGTGTACAGGAGTGTTTATGTTGTTGTTGTGTACAGGAGTGTTTATGTTGTTGTGTACAGGAGTGTTTATGTTGTTGTGTACAGGAGTGTTTATGGTGTTGTGTACAGGAGTGTTTATGTTGTTGTGTACAGGTGTGTTTATGTTGTTGTGTACAGGAGCGTTGTTGTGTACAGGAGTTTATGTTGTTGTGTACATGAGTGTTTATGTTGTTGTGTACATGATTGTTTATGTAGTTGTGTACAGGAGCGTTGTTGTGTACAGGAGTTTATGTTGTTGTGTACAGGAGTGTTTATGTTGTTGTTGTGTACAGGAGTGTTTATGTTGTTGTTGTGTACAGTAGTGTTTATGTTGTTGTTGTGTACAGGAGTGTTTATGTTGTTGTTGTGTACAGGAGTGTTTATGTTGTTGTTGTGTACAGGAGTGTTTATGTTGTTGTTGTGTACAGGAGTGTTTATGTTGTTGTTGTGTACAGGAGTGTTTATGTTGTTGTTGTGTACAGGAGTGTTTATGTTGTTGTTGTGTACAGGAGTGTTTATGTTGTTGTTGTGTACAGGAGTGTTTATGTTGTTGTTGTGTACAGGAGTGTTTATGCTGTTGTTGTGTACAGGAGTGTTTATGTTGTTGTTGTGTACAGGAGTGTTTATGTTGTTGTTGTGTACATGAGTGTTTATGTTGTTGTTGTGTACAGGAGTGTTTATGTTGTTGTTGTGTACAGTAGTGTTTATGTTGTTGTTGTGTACAGGAGTGTTTATGTTGTTGTGTACAGGAGTGTTTATGTTGTTGTGTACAGGAGTGTTTATGGTGTTGTGTACAGGAGTGTTTATGTTGTTGTGTACAGGTGTGTTTATGTTGTTGTGTACAGGAGCGTTGTTGTGTACAGGAGTTTATGTTGTTGTGTACAGGAGTGTTTATGTTGTGTACAGGAGTGTTTGTGTTGTTGTTGTTGTGTACAGGAGTGTTTATGTTGTTGTTGCTGTGTACATGTGTGTTTATGTTGTTGTTGTGTACAGGAGTGTTTATGTTGTTGTTGTGTACAGGAGTGTTTATGTTGTTGTTGTGTACATGAGTGTTTATGTTGTGTACAGGAGCGTTGTTGTGTACAGGAGTTTATGTTGTTGTGTACAGGAGTGTTTATGTTGTGTACAGGAGTGTTTGTGTTGTTGTTGTTGTTGTGTACAGGAGTGTTTATGTTGTTGTTGTTGCTGTGTACATGTGTGTTTATGTTGTTGTTGTGTACAGGAGTGTTTATGTTGTTGTTGTTGTGTACAGGAGTGTTTATGTTGTTGTTGTGTACAGGAGTGTTTATGTTGTTGTGTACAGGAGTGTTTATGTTGTTGTTGTGTACATGAGTGTTTATGTTGTGTACAGGAGTGTTTGTTTGTTGTTGTTGTGTACATGTGTGTTTATGTTGTTGTGTACAGGAGTGTTTATGTTGTTGTTGTGTACATGTGTGTTTATGTTGTTGTTGTGTACAGGAGTGTTTATGTTGTTGTTGTGTACAGGAGTGTTTATGTTGTTGTGTACAGGAGTGTTGATGTTGTTGTGTACAGGAGTGTCTATGTTGTTGTGTACAGGAGTGTTTATGTTGTTGTGTACAGGAGTGTTTATGGTGTTGTGTACAGGAGTGTTTATGTTGTTGTGTACAGGATTGTTTATGTTGTTGTGTACATGTGTGTTTATGTTGTTGTGTACAGGAGCGTTGTTGTGTACAGGAGTTTATGTTGTTGTGTACAGGAGTGTTTATGTTGTTGTTGTGTACAGGAGTGTTTATGTTGTTGTTGTTGTGTACAGGAATGTTTATGTTGTTGTTGTTGTGTACATGAGTGTTTATGTTGTGTACAGGAGTGTTTATGTTGTTGTTGTTGTGTACAGGAGTGTTTGTTGTGTACATGTGTGTTTATGTTGTTGTGTACAGGAGTGTTTATGTTGTTGTGTACAGGAGTGTTTGTTGTTGTTGTGTACATGTGTGTTTGTTGTTGTGTACAGGAGCTTTGTGGTTCGCGCGACGCGGGAGGGAGGCGAGGAGGAGCGTCGTGCTGCTGCTAGGACCAAGCAACGCGGGGAAGACTCTCATGTTCATACGCGTGAGACACAGCAACAACAACAACAACAAACACAACAACGCAACAACACTCACACACAACACTCACACACAACACTCACACACAACACACTCACACACAACACACTCACACACAACAGCCACACACAACACACACAACACTCACACAACACGCACAACAGTCACACACAACACACACAACACACACACAACAGTCACACACAACACACACAACACTCACACAGCAGTCACACACAACACTCACACACAACTCACAACACACACACAACACTCACACACAACTCACAAAACACACACACACCACTCACACACAACACACACAACACTCACACACACAACACTCACACACACAACACTCACACACAACACTCAACACTCACACACAACACTCACACACAACACACACAATACTCACACACAACACACACACAACACTCACACACACAACACTCACACACAACACACTCAGACACACAACACTCACACACACAACACTCACACACACAACACTCACACACACCACACTCACACAACACACACAACACTCACACACAACACTCACACACAGCACTGACACACACAACACTCACACACAACACTCACACACAACACTCACACACAACACTCACACACAACACACACCACACACACACACAACACTCTCACACACACAACACTCACACACACAACACTCACACACACAACACTCACACACACAACACTCACACACCACACACACACACAACACTCACACACACAACACTCACACACAACACACAATACTCACACATACAAAACTCACACACACAACACTCACACACAACACTCACACACAACACTCACACACAACACACAACACTCGCACAACACAAACACAACACACACACAAGACTCACACACACAACACACCCACACACACAACACCCACACACACAACACTCACACAACACTCACACACAACACACAACACTCACACACACCACTCACACACACACACAATACCCACACACAATACCCACACACAACACTCACACACAACACATACACACAACACACACAACACTCACACAACACTCACACACACACCACTCACACACACCACTCACACACACAACACACAACACTCACACACACAACACTCACACACACAACACACAACACTCACACACACAACACACAACACTCACACACACAACACTCACACACAACACACACAACACTCACACACACAACACACACAACACTCACACACACAACACACACACACAACACTCACACACACCACTCACATACAACACTCACACACACAACACACAATACTCACACATACAGCACTCACACACACAACACTCACATACAACACTCACACACACAACACTCACACACAACACTCACACACAACACACTCACACACACAACACTCACACACACAACACTCACACACAACACTCACACACAACACTCACACACAACACACACAACACTCACACACAACACACTCACACACACAACACTCACACACACAACACTCACACACACAACACTCACACACAACACTCACACACATCACACACAACACTCACACACAACACTCACACACAACACTCACACACAACACCCACACACAACACTCACACACAACACTCACACACACAACACTCACACACACAACACACAACACTCACACACAACACTCACACACAACACACACAACACTCACACACAACACACACAGCACTCACACACAACACACTTACACACAACACTCACACCACACCACACTCGCACAACACACACACAACACTCACACACACCACTCACAACACTCTCACACACGACACTCACACACACGACACTCACACACACAACACTCACCCACACAACACTCACACACACAACACTCACCCACACAACACTCACACACACAACACTCACACACACAACACTCACACACCCAACACTCGCACACAACACTCGCACACAACACTCGCACAACACACTCACACAACAGTCACACACAACACTCACACACAACACTCGCACACAACACTCGCACACACAACACTCGCACACACAACTCTCACACACAACACTCACACGCACACACAACACTCACACACACAACACTCACACACAACACACACAACACACACACAACACTCCCACACAACACTCCCACACAACACTCACACACACAACACTCACACACAACACACACAACACACACAGCACGCACACACAACACTCACACAACACACTCACACACACCACTCACACACAACACTCACACACAACACTCACACACAACACTCACACACAACACTCACACACAACACACACAACACACACAGCACGCACACACAACACTCACACAACACACTCACACACACCACTCACACACAACACTCACACACAACACTCACACACAACACTCACACACAACACACACAACACGCACACACAACACTCACACAACACACACATACAACACACAACACTCACACACAACACTCGCACAACACAAACACAACACTCACCGTGTCTCACCCCCCGTGTCTCACCGCCCGTGTCTCACCGCCCGTGTCTCACCCCCCGTGTCTCACCCCCCGTGTCTCACCCCCCCGTGTCTCACCGCCCGTGTCTCACCGCCCGTGTCTCACCGCCCGTGTCTCACCCCCCGTGTCTCACCCCCCCGTGTCTCACCGCCCGTGTCTCACCCCCCGTGTCTCACCGCCCGTGTCTCACCGCCCGTGTCTCACCGCCCGTGTCTCACCGCCCGTGTCTCACCGCCCGTGACTCACCGCCCGTGTCTCACCGCCCGTGTCTCACCGCCCGTGTCTCACCGCCCGTGACTCACCGCCCGTGTCTCACCGCCCGTGTCTCACCGCCCGTGTCTCACCGCCCGTGTCTCACCCCCCGTGTCTCACCCCCCGTGTCTCACCTCCCGTGTCTCACCGTGTCTCACTGTGTCTCACCGCCCGTGTCTCACCGCCCGTGTCTCACCCCCCGTGTCTCACCGCCCGTGTCTCACCGCCCGTGTCTCACCGCCCGTGTCTCACCGCCCGTGTCTCACCGCCCGTGTCTCACCGCCCGTGTCTCACCGCCCGTGTCTCACCCCCCGTGTCTCACCCCCCGTGTCTCACCTCCCGTGTCTCACTGTGTCTCACCGCCCGTGTCTCACCGCCCGTGTCTCACCGCCCGTGTCTCACCGCCCGTGTCTCACCGCCCGTGTCTCACCCCCCGTGTCTCACCGCCCGTGTCTCACCGCCCGTGTCTCACCGCCAGTTGCTGACGGGGACACACAGGGACACACACATGTCCTTCGAGGTGAACTCTGCCCCATATCAAGCAGCACCCAACAAGGTGAGACAACTCCCAGACACAGACAAAGGTCCCCCGTGTAGCCTCTAACAGGCTGTAGGGGCAAGTGCAGTTAGTAGCGAGTAGCAGCAGCACCTGTGAAGGTAGACACAGACAAAGATCCCCCGTGTAGCCTCTAACAGACTGTAGGGGCAAGTGCTGTTAGTAGCGAGTAGCAGCAGCACCTGTGAAGGTAGACACAGACAAAGATCCCCCGTGTAGCCTCTACAGACTGCAGGGGCAAGTGCTGTTAGTAGCGAGTAGCAGCAGCACCTGTGAAGGTAGACACAGACAAAGATCCCCCGTGTAGCCTCTAACAGACTGTAGGGGCAAGTGCTGTTAGCGAGCAGCACCTATGAAGGCCGGCACGGCACACGAGGGGGTGGGTGGCCAGGACCACGCCCGGCCGCCTTTGTCTCCCCAGTGGCGATGTTTACTACACACCGCTACACCAGGTACTCATTTGAGGCTGAGTCGACCTAGGGGAGGCCCGGGACCGGCTCAGATAATCGTCACGCCGGTGTTGGCCGTGAGCGGGAATCAAACTCGGGTCGCCGGGTTCGTAGCGCAGCGTGGCGCTAACCACTACACCCACCACTCAATTTGGTGTCGTTAATGTGGTGGTTGTTGTTGATGTGGTGGTTGACTTGGTGGTTGTTGATGTGGTTGTTGACTTGGTGGTTGTTGACGTGGTTGTTGTTGACGTGGTTGTTGTTTACGTGGTTGTTGTTGTTTATGTGGGTGTTGTTGTTGATGACGTGGTTGTTGTTTATGACGTGGTTGTTGTTGACGCGGTTGTTGTTGACGTGGTTGTTGTTGTAGACGTGGTTGTTGTTGTTGACGTGGTTGTTGTTGATGACGTGGTTGTTGTTGTTGACGTGGTTGTTGTTGACGTGGTTGTTGTTGATGACGTGGTTGTTGTTGTTGACGTGGTTGTTGTTGACGTGGTTGTTGTTGTTTATGTGGGTGTTGTTGTTGACGTGGTTGTTGTTGACGTGGTTGTTGTTGACGCGGTTGTTGTTGACGTGGTTGTTGTTGTTTATGTGGGTGTTGTTGATGACGTGGTTGTTGTTGATGACGTGGTTGTTGTTGACGCGGTTGTTGTTGACGTGGTTGTTGTTGATGACGTGGTTGTTGTTGTTGACGTGGTTGTTGTTGTTGACGTGGTTGTTGTTGACGTGGTTGTTGTTGATGACGTGGTTGTTGTTGTTGACGTGGTTGTTGTTGACGTGGTTGTTGTTGTTTATGTGGGTGTTGTTGTTGACGTGGTGGTTGTTGACGTGGTTGTTGTTGACGCGGTTGTTGTTGATGACGTGGTTGTTGTTGTTGTTGTTGACGTGGTTGTTGTTGTTGACGTGGTTGTTGTTGTTGACGTGGTTGTTGTTGTTGTTGACGTGGTTGCACAGGGAGTGGTGACGCTGGTGGACGTTCCAGGCCACGCCAGCGTTCGTGTCGATGCCATTGAGCGCTTGAAGCACGGAGTGAGGTGCAAACACCACAACAACAACAAGAACAACAACCACAACTACACCAACCACAACAACAACAAGCACAACAACAACAACCACAACAACCGCCATCACAACCACAACCACCATCACAACAACAACCACCATCACAACAACAACCACCATCACAACAACCACCATCACAACCACAACCACCATCACAACAACAACCACAACCACCATCACAACAACCACCATCACAACAACAACCACCATCACAACCACAACCACCATCACAACAACAACCACAACCACCATCACAACAACAACCACAACCACCATCACAACAACAACCACAACCACCATCACAACAATAACCACAACCACCATCACAACAACAACCACCATCACAACAACAACCACAACCACCATCACAACAACAACCACAACCACCATCACAACAACAACCACCATCACAACAACAACCACAACCACCATCACAACAACAACCACAACCACCATCACAACAACAACCACCACCAACAACCACCATTACAACAACAACCACCACCAACAACCACCATTACAACAACAACCACCAACAACAACCACCATTACAACAACAACCACCACCAACAACCACCATTACAACAACAACCACCACCAACAACCACCATTACAACAACAACCACCACCAACAACCACCATAACAACAACCACCATAACAACAACAACCACCACCAACAACCACCATAACAACAACAACAACCTTCAACAACCACCATCACAACAACAACCTTCAACAACCACCATCACAACAACAACCTTCAACAACCACCATCACAACAACAACCTTTAACAACCACCATCACACCAACAACCTTCAACAACCACCATCACAACAACATCCACAACCACCATCACAACAACAACCTTCAACAACCACCATCACAACAACAACCTTCAACAACCACCATCACAACAACATCCACAACCACCATCACAACAACAACCACCAACAACCTATGATGATGATGATTATGGTGGTGATGATGATGATTATGGTGGTGATGATGATGATTATGGTGGTGATGATGATGATTATGGTGGTGATGATGATGATTATGGTGGTGATGATGATTATGGTGGTGATGATGATTATGGTGGTGATGATGATTATGGTGGTGATGATGATTATGGTGGTGATGATGATTATGGTGTTGGCGATGTGGTGATGATGATGGTGATGATGGTGGCGGTGGTGATGATGGTGGTGATGATGATGGTGATTATGATGGTGATGATTGTGGCGATGGTGGTGATGATGATGGTGATGATTGTGGCGATGGTGGTGATGGTGATGATGATGATGGTGATGATTGTGGCGATGGTGGTGATGATGGTGGTGATGATTGTGGCGATGGTGGTGATGATGATGATGGTGGTGATGATTATGGTGGTGATGATCATTATGGTGGTGATGATCATTATGGTGGTGATGATGGTGATAATTGTGGCGATGGTGGTGATGATGATGATGATGGTAATGGTGGTGATGATGGTGATGATGATGGTGGTGATGGTGGTGGTGGTGATGATGATTATGGTGGTGGTGATGATGATTATGGTGGTGATGATGGTGATGATTGTGGCGATGGTGGTGATGATGATTATGATGGTGATGATGGTGATGATGATGATTGTGGAGATGGTGGTGATGATGATGATGGTGGTGATGGTGGTGGTGATGATGATTATGGTGGTGGTGATGATGGTGATGATGGTGATGATTGTGGCGATGGTAGTGATGATGGTGATGATTGTGGCGATGGTAGTGATGATGGTGGTGATGGTGGTGATGATGATGGTGATGATTGTGGCGATGGTGGTGATGATGATGATGGTGGTGATGATGATTATGGTGGTGGTGGTGATGATGATTATGGTGGTGATGATGGTGATGGTTGTGGTGATGATGGTGATGATGATGATGATTGTGATGATTCTGGCGATGGTGGTGGTGGTGATGATGGTGATGATAATGGTGGTGATGATGGTGGTGGTGCAGGGCGGTGGTGGTGGTGGTGGACAGTGTCGCCTTCCAGAAGGAGGTCAAGGAGGTGGCTGAGACTCTATACGCCGTGCTCACAGACAAGGCCCTGAGCAGGCCCGGCACGCCCGTTCTCATCGCCTGCAACAAGCAGGGTACCGACAGAGACGCTCACGGCGACACGCGTGTAGATGTAGACACACACACACACCGTGTAGATGTAGACACACACACACCGTGTAGATGTAGACACACACACACCGTGTAGATGTAGACACACACACACACACACACCGTGTAGATGTAGACACACACACACCGTGTAGATGTAGACACACACACACACACTGTGTAGATGTAGACACACACACACACCATGTGGATGTAGACACACACACACACCGTGTAGATGTAGACACACACACCATGTAGATGTAGACACACACACACACACCGTGTGAATGTAGACACACGAGGTTCGCGTGGACGCGGTTCGCGCCGTCAGCCTGCTAATGCCGCGGGGTTTGTGTGTCCGTGTCTCTGTGCAGATATCGGCTTGGCCAAATCTGCCTCCCTCATTAAAATGCAACTGGAGAAAGAGTTGTGAGTGTTACACACACACACGTGTGTACACACATACACACACATGCATACACACAAACACACACACACACGCATACACACACACACGTGTGTACACACATACACGCACACACGCAAACACATGCACACATTACATACACACACATACGCATACACATACACGCATACACACACATGCATACAAAGATCCCCGCATAGCCTCAACAGACTGTAGGGGCTAGTGCTGTTAGCGAGCACCTATGAAGGCCGGAACGGTACACGAGGGGGTGGGTGGCCAGCACCACGCCCGACCGCCTTTGTCTCCCCAGTGGCAATGTTTTTATCCACCGCACTAGGTACTCATTTGAGGCTGAGTCGACCTAGAGGAGGCCCAGGACCGGTTCAGATAATCGTCACTGATGTTGGGCGTGAGCGGGAATCGAACTCGGGTCGCCAGGTTCATAGCGCAGCGCGCTAACCGCTACACTATCGCTCCCCACACACACGCATACACGCATACACACACACATACACACACACATACACACACACACACACGTGTGTACACACATACACACACATACACGCACACACGCAAACACATACACACATTACATACACACACATACGCATACACATACACGCATACACACACATGCATACACACACGCATACACACACACACGCATACACACGCATACACACACACACACGTGTGGACACACATACACACACATACACGCACACACGCAAACACATACACACATTACATACATACGCATACACGCATACACATACACGCATACACACACATGCACACATACACGCACACACATACACACATTACATACACACACATACAACAACAACAACCGCCATTCGCCACTAAGTGGCGGTGACGTCACCACGACGCTTGTGCCAGGACATGTGCACCCTGAGGCCACGTGAAGCGTCGAACACCCGCTGGCAGGAGGTCACGGGGCAGACCCAGGTGCCACGGGTCGACTGACTGAGATGACTGGCTGGTGCACCACCTGTGCCCCCTACTGTGCCAACCTGCTGTGCTTTAGCCACCCGGCGCTCCGCTCGTTGTTGTGAACGTCGCTCCTCCGCCCTCCGTTGTTGTTGGAGGGCGACTGCCTCCAACTGCCCATTAGCGTCCATCACGAGCCTCCTCCACAGAGGCCAATCTTGACACCGCTGGTACCAGTCATCGGCAAGTCCACTCAGCTCCACGTCCTCCTGTACCACATCACTCCATCTCTTCTCTAGCCCGTGCCACGCCCGCTTAGCCCCCTCAATCCGGCCGAACAAAAGCTGTTTCGGCATGCGGTGGCTGGGCACACACATATACATACACACATACATACACACATTACATACACACACACACGTGTGCATACACACACACACGTGTGTATGCACACACGTGTGTGTGCATACACACACACACGTGTGCGTACACGCACACACGTGTGCGTACACGCACACACGCGTGCGTACACGCACACACGCGTGCGTACACGCACACACACGTGTGTGCGTACACACACACACGTGTGTGTGTGCGTACACACACACACGTGTGCATACACACACACACGTGTGTGCATACACACACACACGTGTGTGCGTACACGCACACACGTGTGTGCGTACACGCACACAAATGTTCATTTACACCCCAACATACGCATGTATGTACCCATACGCACGCATCCGCATCTCACACACATGTACCCATACACAGATGCGTGTGCATGCACGTGTAATGACAACTTGACACACTTGTCCTGAGGTGGCACTTTTATTGAAGAGGCGTTCACTTTGACATCAGGCGGAGGAGACCCCCACCGCAATAGCCCCGAGTCTACCGCGCGTCTCCCCCTTATATACCGACAGGAGGCCACGCCCCCCTTCTCGATCGTTCTCGCCGACTCTGGACGCTCGCTCCACCGGCAGACTCCACCGTCCTCGTCCGTCGCCTGACCACGCTCCTTGCTCGAACATTCCCGTGGCCACCAGTCCCTTCACACTCACAGCTGACTCCCCTGTCATTACGTCCCGTGGCCACCAGTCCCTTCACACTCACAGCTTCATCCCCCTGTCATTACCTCCCGTGGCCACCAGTCCACTCACACTCACAGCTGACTCCCCTGTCATTACCTCCCGTGGTCACTAGTCCACTCACACTCACAGCTGACTCCCCTGTCATTACCTCCCGTGGCCACCAGTCCCTTCGCACTCACAGCTGACTCCCCTGTCATTACCTCCCGTGGCCACCAGTCCACTCATAGCTGACTCCCCTGTCATTACCTCCCGTGGCCACCAGTCCCTTCACACTCACAGCTGACTCCCCTGTCATTACCTCCCGTGGCCACCAGTCCCTTCACAATCACAACTGACTCCCCTGTCATTACCTCCCGTGGCCACCAGTCCCTTCACACTCACAGCTGACTCCCCTGTCACTACCTCCCGTGGCCACCAGTCCCTTCACACTCACAGCTGACTCCCCTGTCATTACCTCCCGTGGCCACCAGTCCCTTCACACTCACAGCTGACTCCCCTGTCATTACCTCCCGTGGCCACCAGTCCCTTCACACTCACAGCTGACTCCCCTGTCATTACCTCCCGTGGCCACCAGTCCACTCACACTCACAGCTGACTCCCCTGTCATTACCTCCCGTGGCCACCAGTCCCTTCACACTCACAGCTGACTCCCCTGTCATTACCTCCCGTGGCCACCAGTCCACTCACACTCACAGCCGACTCCCCTGTCATTACCTCCCGTGGCCACCAGTCCACTCACACTCACAGCTGACTCCCCTGTCACTACCTCCCGTGGCCACCAGTCCACTCAAACTCACAGCTGACTCCCCTGTCATTACCTCCCGTGGCCACCAGTCCACTCACACTCACAGCTGACTCCCCTGTCATTACCTCCCATGGCCACCAGTCCCTTCACACTCACAGCTGACTCCCCTGTCATTACCTCCCGTGGCCACCAGTCCCTTCACTCTCACAGCCGACTCCCCTGTCATTACGTCCCGTGGCCACCAGTCCACTCACACTCACAGCTGACTCCCCTGTCATTACCTCCCGTGGCCACCAGTCCCTTCACACTCACAGCTGACTCCCCTGTCATTACCTCCCGTGGCCACCAGTCCCTTCATACTCACAGCTGACTCCCCTGTCATTACCTCCCGTGGCCACTAGTCCACTCACACTCACAGCTGACTCCCCTGTCATTACCTCCCGTGGCCACCAGTCCCTTCACACTCACAACTGACTCCCCTGTCATTACCTCCCGTGGCCACCAGTCCACTCACACTCACAGCTGACTCCCCTGTCACTACCTCCCGTGGCCACCAGTCCCTTCACACTCACAGCCGACTCCCCTGTCATTACCTCCCGTGGCCACCAGTCCCTTCACACTCACAGCTGACTCCCCTGTCACTACCTCCCGTGGCCACTAGTCCCTTCACACTCACAGCTGACTCCCCTGTCACTACCTCCCGTGGCCACTAGTCAACTCACACTCACAGCTGACTCCCCTGTCACTACCTCCCGTCACCACCAGTCCACTCAGACTGCATGCAGGCTCTCTCGTCATTACACACGCACACGTACACGCACACGCATGCACACGCATGTGCACGTTCGCACGCACGTACACGTGTGCGAGCGGGAATCCTACTCGGGTCCGTGACCCCCGCCCCCTCCGTGACCCCCAGGACGACCCTGCGGGTGACCCAGGCGGCCGCCCTTTCCTCCACGACGGGACGCGGCGGCGGCGGCGGCGGCGGCGCCCTGGGGGGGGGCGGCCCGGGGGGGGGGCGGTCGGCGTTCAGCTTCTCCCAGCTGGGGGCGGGCGGCGTGGAGTTCACGGAGTGCGACGCTCGAAGCGACGGAGGCCTGAGCAGCGTTGTCACCTGGCTGGCTCACCTGGGGTAGACTCACCTGGGGTGGACTCACCTGGGGTAGACTCACCTGGGGTAGACTCACCTGGGGTAGACTCACCTGGGGTGGACTCACCTGGGGTGGACTCACCTGGGGTAGACTCACCTGGGGTAGACTCGCTCACCTGGGGTAGACTCGCTCACCTGGGGTAGACTCACCTGGGGTAGACTCACCTGGGGTAGACTCACCTGGGGTGGACTCACCTGGGGTAGACTCACTCACCTGGGGTGGACTCACCTGGGGTGGACTCACCTGGGGTAGACTCACCTGGGGTAGACTCGCTCACCTGGGGTAGACTCACCTGGGGTAGACTCACCTGGGGTAGACTCACTCACCTGGGGTAGACTCACCTGGGGTGGACTCACCTGGGGTGGACTCACCTGGGGTAGACTCACCTGGGGTAGACTCACCTGGGGTGGACTCACCTGGGGTGGACTCACCTGGGGTAGACTCACTCACCTGGCTCCCTCACCTGGGGTAGACTCACTCACCTGGGGTAGACTCACCTGGGGTAGACTCACTCACCTGGGGTAGACTCACCTGGGGTAGACTCACCTGGGGTAGACTCACCTGGGGTAGACTCACTCACCTGACTCGCTCACCTGGGGTAGACTCACCTGGGGTGGACTCACTCACCTGGGGTGGACTCGCTCACCTGGGGTAGACTCACCTGGGGTAGACTCACTCACCTGGCTCGCTCACCTGGAGTGGACTCACCTGGGGTGGACTCACTCACCTGGGGTGGACTCACCACGTTCGCTCTCACCCACACGCTCGCCCACCCACAAACTCACCCGCTCGTTCAACCACTCGTCCACTCACCCGCTCGTCCATCCACACGCACTCGTCCGCCACACATCCGCTCGTCCACCCACACCCACCCACCCCCACCCACCCCCACCCACCCACACGTCCACCCACACCCACCCACACTCACCCACACCCACCCGCTCGTCCATCCACACCCATCCGCTCGTCCACACCCACCCACTCGTCCACCCACACCCTCCCGCTCGTCCACCCACACCCATCCACTCGTCCACCCACACCCATCCACTCGTCCACACCCACCCACTTGTCCACCCACTCGCTCGCCGGCTCGCCCGTCCACCCACCCAGCACGGTTGGCTACGTATGGTGAAGAAGTTCAACACCCACACGCAACAACAACAATTAAAGACAAACTTTGTGGTAACCCACGTGTCCACGATGCTGATGGCCCGTCTCTGTGGTGATGGCTTTGTCTACACACAGAGGCCTTGTGTATGCTTCGTGTGTGTGTACACACAGAGGCCTTGTGTATACACAGAGGCATTGTGTATGCTTCGTGTGTGTGTACACACAGTAGCCTTGTGTACACAGTAGTAGCCTTGTGTACCCCTTGACAAAGGAATTAGCATAGAATTTAGCATTGAAATAGCTGAGTGATTAGCTTGTAACTGGTCACAGAAATAGCTATGTTAAAGTCAGAGCATATACAATTCACCGAGGCACCTAGTACAAATCAAACAGGAGAATTTAGCATTGAAATAACTAGGCGAATTTAGCATTGAAATAACTGAGTGATTAGCTTGTGACTGGTCACAGAAATGGCTATGTTGAAGTCAAGGCCTACACATCTGAGCTATTCACAGTAACTGGGTATACAATACAATATTTAATGAATACTATATAGTGAACCAATAAAAAACTAAAATATAAATTACCTCAATGTTATCAATAAACTCTATATTCTCCAATCAGCTAAGCTACCAACAATAAGTCGTTATATATCACATATATTAATTTTTTATTGGTTCACTATATAGTATTCATTATATATTGTATTGTATACCCAGTTACTGTGAATAGCTCAGATGTGTAGGCCTGACTTCAACATAGCCATTTCTGTGACCAGTCACAAGCTAATCACTCAGTTATTTCAATGCTAAATTCGCCTAGTTATTTCAATGCTAAATTCTCCTGTTTGATTTGTACTAGGTGCCTCGGTGAATGTATATGCTCTGACTTTAACATAGCTATTTCTGTGACCAGTTACAAGCTAATCAATCAGCTGTTTCAATGCTAAATTCTATGCTAATTCCTTTGTCAAGGGGTGCCTCTGCGGATGTGTATACTTTAACTTAGCTATTTCAATGCTAAATTCTATGCTAATTCCTTTGTCAAGGGGTGCCTCTGCGGATGTGTATACTTTAACTTAGCTATTTCAATGCTAAATTCTATGCTAATTCCTTTGTCAAGGGGTGCCTCTGCGGATGTGTATACTTTAACTTAGCTATTTCAATGCTAAATTCTATGCTAATTCCTTTGTCAAGGGGTGCCTCTGCGGATGTGTATACTTTAACTTAGCTATTGCAATGCTAAATTCTATGCTAATTCGTTTGTCAAGGGGTGCCTTTGCGGATGTGTATGCTTTAACTTTAACATAGCCATTTCTGTGACCAGTCACAAGCTAATCACTCAGCCATTTCAATGCTAAATTCTATGCTAATTCCTTTGTCAAGGCGCTCTGTTTCTTCTCACACAGCTTAAAGGTCGCGATCTCAGCGTGGCTTTCTCACTCCAGCGCTGTCCTCCAGACAGTCTCGTCCCTTCACCTGATGAAGGCCGCTTGTGTTGTGGCCGAAACGTCGTGAGAATATTTTATTTTATCAATGTATTATTTATTCTCATTCTACGTGGTGACTTTACCGAAAGAACCAAAGAAGACGTATGAGAACTGTGCAGTTTATTCCGCGTTGGGGCGCAGCGTCGTAGATTGGACGCGACACAGAAACACAGACACACAGAGAGACAAAGACACAGACACACAGAGACACACAGACAGACACAGAGACACACAGAGACACACAGAGAGACAGAGACACACAGAGACAGAGACACAGACACAGAAACACAGAGACACACAGAGAGACAGAGACAGAGAGACAGACACAGAGACGCACAGACAGACAGAGACACAGAAACACAGACACAGAAACACACAGAGACACAGAGACACAGACACAGAGACACACAGCGAGACAGAGACACAGACACAGAGACACACAGAGACACAGACACACAGTGAGACACAGACAAAGACAAACAGAGAGACAGAGACACAGACAGACACACAGAGACAGAGACACAGACAGACACACAGAGACAGACGCAGACACAGAAACAAAGACGCAAAATGAAACCGCGCCGAGGACACAAACCGCTCGCGTACCGTGGCAAACGACGCATTGTGTACACACACACAGTAGCCTTGTGTGTGTGTACACACAGTAGCAAGGCTGTGTGTGCGTACACACACAGTAGCCTTGTGTGTGTGTGTACACACACAGTAGCCTTGTGTGTGTGTGTACACACACAGTAGCCTTGTGTGTGTGTGTACACACACAGTAGCCTTGTGTGTACACACACAAGGCTACTGTGTGTGTACACACACACAAGGCTACTGTGTGTACACACACACACACAGTAGCCTTGTGTGTGTGTGTACACACACAGTAGCCTTGTGTGTACACACACAAGGCTACTGTGTGTGTACACACACACAAGGCTACTGTGTGTACACACACACACACAGTAGCCTTGTGTGTGTGTGTGTACACACACAGCGTGTGTGTACACACACACACAGTAGCCTTGGTTGTGTGTGTGTGTACACACAGCCTTGTGTGCGTACACACAGTAGCCTTGTGTGTACACACACAAGGCTACTGTGTGTACACACACAGGCTACTGTGTGTGTACACACAGTAGCCTTGTGTGTGTACACAAGCGGGCCGTAGTGTTATGCTGACCATTCAGTGTATATATACACGCGCGCGTAGCATTGTGTACGCGTAGCCGTAAATGTACACAACCTTGTGTACACGCAGCCTTGTGTACACAACATTGTGTACTCATACACACATCAATGTGTACGTGTACACAGCCTTGCGTACACACAACCATGATGTGTACACAACATGGCACGTGTGCGCGCAACCCGTGCCTGCACAACCCGTGCCTGCACAACCCGTGCCTGCACAACCCGTGCCTGCACAACCCGTGCCTGCACAACCCGTGCCTGCACAACCCGTGCCTGCACAACCCGTGCCTGCACAACCCGTGCCTGCACAACCCGTGTCTCCGCGTGCACGTGATCTTCAACCCGCGCCACGTGTTCAGGCGGCGACAATCCGCCTTGTGGAGTGGGGACTAAGGATGCCCCCCCCCTCCAGCCTTGACATTGTTGGGGGGGGGGGGTTCCCGGCCGCCTTTGTCTCCCCCGGTGCTGAGAGTAAAATAAAAAGACAGATCCCCCGTGTAGCCTCGACAGACTCTAGGGGCAAGTGCTGTGTAGGGAGCAATTGCGGAGGCCGGCACGGTGACACAGGAGGGGGCGGGTGGACAACACCCACCCCCGGCCGCCTTTACACAAACACACAAACACACACAGTGACACACACACACACAGTGACACACACACACACAGTGACACACACAAACACACACACAGTGACACACAGTGACACACACAGTGACACACAGTGACACACACAAACACACAGTGACACACAGTGACACACAGTGACACACACACAGTGACACACAAACACACAGTGACACACACAAACACACAGTGACACACATACACACAGTGACACACACACAGTGACACACACACACAGTGACACACAGTGACACACACACACAGTGACACACACAAACACACACAGTGACACACACAAACACACACAGTGACACACACAAACACACACACAGTGACACACACACAGTGACACACACAAACACAGTGACACACACAAACACACACAGTGACACACATACACACACAGTGACACGCATACACACACAGTGACACACATACACACAGTGACACGCATACACACAGTGACACACATACACACACAGTGACACACACACAAACACACACACAGTGACAGACACACAAACACAGTGACACACACAAACACAAACAGTGACACACACATAGTGACACACAGACACACACACACAGTGACACACATACCCACACAGTGACACACACAGACACACAGTAACACAGTAACACACACAGTGACACACACACACAGTGACACACACACACAGTGACACACACACAGTGACACACGTACACACACAGTGACACACACACACAGTGACACGTACACACACAGTGACACACACACAGTAACACACACAGAGTGACACACACACAGTGACACACGTACACACACGTACACACACACAGTGACACACACACAGTGACACACACACAGTGACATACACACACACACAGACACACACACAGTGACACACACACAGTGACACACAGTGACACACACACAGTGACACACAGTGACACACACACACAGTGACACACACAGTGACACACACAGTGACACACACAGTGACACACACAGTGACACACACAGTGACACACATACACACACAGTGACATACACACACACAGTGACACACACACACAGTGACACACATACACAGTGACATACACACACAGTGACAGACACACACAGTGACACACACACAGTGACACACACACAGTGACACACACACAGTGACACACACACAGTGACACACACACAGTGACACACACAGTGACACACACACAGTGACACACATCCTTCATGTATAGTCCACAATTGTGCGGACGCAACAAAGACAAAGACCCCCCGCGTAGCCTTCAGACTGTTGGGGGCAAGTGCGGCCGCTGTGGCACACGAGGGAGGCCGCCCGGTCGCCCGGCCGCCTTTGTCTCCCCCATCAGCGCTGCCGCTTGAGACCCCCCCGGGCGACAGAGGCTGAGCGGGAGTGGAACTCGGCTGGACGGGGCCGCAGGCGCGGCGGCGCTAACCGCTGCGCCACCGCTCCCTGCTACCCTCCCCCCCTCCCTCCTCTCTCTCGGCCTGTGCAGGGTTATCGAGGCCCGCCGAGGAATGGCCGCGTAGAGTTATTTACGACGGGCAATAATCATCATCGTCGTCGTTGTAATCAATTAACGTAATTATTGATGAGCGCTCTGTCGACGTCACGTGGGGCGGAGGGGGGGGGTAGGGTGAGGGCTTCGCTCGGGCAGCCAATGGGCTCGCGCCGTTGGGGGATGAAGCGTGGAGGGGAGAGCCAATGGGATCGCGCCGTTGGGGGATGAAGCGTGGAGGGGAGAGCCAATGGGATCGCGCCGTTGGGGGATGAAGCGTGGAGGGGAGTGCCAATGGGCTCGCGCCGTTGGGGGATGAAGCGTGGAGGGGAGAGCCAATGGGATCGCGCCGGTGGGGGATGAAGCGTGGAGGGGAGAGCCAATGGGATTGCGCCGTTGGGGGATGAAGCGTGGAGGGGAGAGCCAATGGGATCGCGCCGTTGCTGGACGGGGTGGTTGAGGGGAGGGAGACGGACCAATGGCGAGTGGCGTTGTTAGCAGGAGCAGCCCGAGTCCGATACGGGGACTTCGGCTTCCTTGTCGATCTTGATGTCAACCACTGGGCCCACGGGGGTCAAGGTCAATAGGTCAGCAGGTCAATAGGTCAGCAGGTCAATAGGTCAGCATGGTGATAGGTCAGCATGGTGATAGGTCAGCATGTCAGACGCATGTTTGTGGACCTGCCCGCCTGACGGCTATAGGCGGAGGGAGACCCCGTGATGGTGGTCTCTGTGTGTCTCTGCGTGTGTCTCTGTGTGTCTCTGTGTGTGTCTCAGCGTGTCTCTGCGTGTGTCTCTGTGTGTGTCTCTGTGTGTGTCTCTGCGTGTGTGTCTGCGTGTGTGTCTGTGTGTGTCTCTTTGTGTCTCTTTGTGTCTCTGCGTGCGTCTCTGTGTGTGTCTCTGTGTGTGTCTCTTTGTGTGTCTCTGTGTGTGTCTCTGCGTGTGTCTCTGTGTGTGTCTCTTTGTGTCTCTGCGTGCGTCTCTGCGTGTCTCTTTGTGTGTCTCAGCATGTGTGTCTGTGCGTGTCTCTGCGTGCGTGTCTGTGCGTGTCTCTTTGTGTGTCTCTCTGTGTCTCTGCGTGTGTCTCTGTGTGTCTCTGCGTGTCTCTGCTTGTCTCTGCGTGCGTCTCTTTGTGTGTCTCAGCGTGTCTCTGCGTGTGTCTCTTTGTGTGTCTCAGCGTGTCTCTGCGTGTGTCTCAGTGTGTCTCTGCGTGCGTGTCTCTGCGTGCGTGTCTCTGCGTGCGTCTCTTTGTGTGTCTCAGTGTGTGTCTTTGTGTGTCTCTGTGTGTCTCTGCGTGTCTCTGCGTGTGTCTCAGCGTGTCTCTGCATGCGCGTCTCTGCATGCGTGTCTCTGCGTGTGTGTCTGTGTGTGTCTGTGCGTGTCTCTGTGTGTGTGTCTCTGTGTGTGTCTCCGCGTGTGTGTCTGTGCGTGTCTCTGTGCGTGTCTCTGCGTGTGTCTCTGCGCGTGTGTCTGTGTGTGTCTCTGTGCGTGTGTCTGTGTGTGTCTGTGCGTGTCTCTGTGCGTGTCTGTGTGTGTCTGTGCGTGTGTCTCTGTGCGTGTGTCTGTGTGTCTCTGTGTGTGTCTGTGTGTCTCTGTGTGTGTCTCTGTGTGTGTCTCTATGTGTGTCTCTATGTGTGTGTCTGTGCGTGTCTCTGCGTGTGTCTGCGTGTGTCTGTGCGTGTGTGTCTCTGTGTGTCTGTGTGTGTGTCTCTGTGTGTGTGTGTGTCTCTGTGTGTCTGTGTGTGTGTCTCTGTGTCTCTGTGTGTGTCTCTGTCTCTCTCTGTGTGTGTCTCTGTGTGTGTCTCTGTGTGTGTGTGTCTCTGTGTGTGTGTGTCTCTGTGTGTGTCTGTCTCTGTGTGCATGTCTCTGTGTGTGTGTCTCTCTGTGTGTGTCTCTGTGTGTGTCTCTGTCTCTCTGTGTGTGTCTCTGTGTGTGTCTGTGTGTCTCTGTGTGTGTGTCTCTGTGTGTGTGTCTCTCTGTGTGTGTCTCTCTGTGTGTGTCTCTGTGCGTGTGTCTCTGTGCGTGTGTGTCTGTGCGTGTCTCTGTGCGTGTGTGAGTGTCTCTGTGTGTGTCTTTCTGTGTGTGTCTCTGTGTGTGTCTCTGTGTGCATGTGTCTCTGTGTGTGTGTGTCTCTGTGCGTGTGTCTGTGTGTCTCTGTGTGTGTCTCTGTGTGTGTCTGTGTCTCTGTGTGTGTCTCTATGTGTGTGTCTGTGCATGGCTCTGCGTGTGTCTGCGTGTGTCTGTGCGTGTGTGTCTCTGTGTGTGTGTGTCTCTGTGTGTCTGTGTGTGTGTGTCTCTGTGTCTCTGTGTGTGTGTCTCTGTGTGTGTGTGTCTCTGTGTGTGTCTCTGTGTGTGTCTGTCTCTGTGTGTATGTCTCTGTGTGTGTGTCTCTCTGTGTGTGTCTCTGTGTGTGTCTCTGTCTCTCTGTGTGTCTCTGTGTGTGTCTGTGTGTCTCTGTGTGTGTCTCTGTGTGTGTGTCTCTCTGTGTGTGTCTCTCTGTGTGTGTCTCTGTGCGTGTGTCTCTGTGCGTGTGTCTCTGTGCGTGTGTCTCTGTGCGTGTGTCTCTGTGCGTGTGTGTGTGTCTCTGTGTGTGTCTCTGTGTGTGTCTCTCTGTGTGTGTCTCTGTGTGTGTCTCTGTGCGTGTGTCTCTGTGCGTGTG